GCCAGTGTGTACGCGCGTGGAAGACAGCAATCCATCAACGGATTTGCCATCTACACGCATGCATGCAGGGGCTAGTTACGATCCCGCCACGTAGGAATGATGTGTGTGAGTGAGTCCCGTTGATCCGGATATGGTGATCGAAACTCCTTTTTGGATTACCGACCGCGAAAGCCTGAGAGATCCCGAGTACAGGACATGTTAGGAGAGGGAACAGATCCGCGACAACAAGTCCGACAGCAACAGATAAGACGGCAACAAAACTTGCGGAACCTTGATTACCCCTGCCAAACTGAACACGAGCGACTGTGCAGGGGCGATTTCCAGTTGGCAATCAACCGGGACTCTCGAATTCCTGAGTATCCCGACAGGAGACACCAGCAATACTTGATCACCCCAGGCTTCATCGCTATCATGACTAATTTCCCTCCCCATTACATCGTCCTCCCGTATCACCGATTGCTAGTTACCCCCTGGGACTCCATATCCCAATTCTGGCGCCGGCCTCCGTGCTCAGAGTGCCAGCAGCCCAACGACTACGAACAGACGGAGGCCACGCGTCAGACTCCTCCCCGGAGAGAACGACGAGAACCAAGCTCGTCCTCCTCATCAGACTCTGACTCTGAGTTCTGCGTCGGACGACAGAGGTACGAGCATTCCCACAGTCACGCCCGAAACACCCCGTTCGTGCGCCCGGGTCTTTCGCGGCCGCGGCTGCAGGAACGACGCCCACCCCAACTCTGAGCCAGAAGAACCACTTGCACTTCTACCCCTGAAACTTGATACAGGAGATTCCAGTTCCGACCTGGAACTCCACCCCCACTTTCCAAAAATCCTTGGCACACCCCTTTTGCACTTCCAGGCCCACTAACACTCCGAAACAGGAAGTCGTGCTGGGCGTGAGGTTGGTATCGGAGCCGACACGTGTCAAGACAAGGGATTGACAAGTTGCTCGACTCTCTGGTTCAACCGATCTGGTGACCCCAAAACGGGGACGGTTTACACAAAGGAATGCGTCGGAACGCGAACCTGTAGTGACAAGAAGCAGTTCTGCGGGCAGATTGGTAGACAACATGAATGCTAATCAGGCAAACGCCAATTAGGCCCATGCCAATCAAGCACAGGGCGGGGCAGGGGGCGGCCTGGGGCCTGCGCCTCAGCCCGCGCCTCAGCCTGCACTTGTCCGCGCTCTAGCAGCCCCGCCAAATCTATATTTATTCGATCCAGCGCACCACCTGGCAGGAGCTTGGCTTGCGACGCTCCGAGCGCAGCAGTACGATAATGATGAAGCTAGGAATAACATCCCAGCTCGACTAGGAGGCGACGCCCATCACGAGAGAAGGTTAACAGCAGTCATATTTTTCATCACCACTTAAGGACACCCTTTACCACTTCAGGATGCAGCCTGCCTAAAAAGGTGGTTTTCAGGGTCTTCGGACCTTTCACCACTTCAGGACCATTCAGGTCTGAAAATCCTGAATGGTCCTGAAGTGGTGAAAGCTCCGAAGACCCTGAAAACCACCTGTTTAGGC